TTTTGGAACATTTGCTCGAACAATTGTGAGAAGTCATTCGCGTGAAAGGTGCTACAAGGCAGCCACTTGTGGTGCGACTGACGGAGCGAGCTCCTTCACCAGATCATGGGCACCTCTTTTCTCTCTGAAACCTGATGGATATGGACACTGCTCCTCCGGCGCCGGGCTTAGCTTGTCCAAAGTTGTTCTTACTGCCTGATGATGTGTTTGAATTGGGATCAGGTCAGATCTATGGTAGCCATGCGTGGGAGCTTGCTCCTAGCTCTGTGGGTGTCAAAGATTTCAACACACCTGAGTACAAGGCTGGAACTCGGAACAATCGAAAACGTGAGAAGGTTTGCCCGCCTGCGCCACTTTTCATCTAGGTCAGTTCCATGTTGATGAGAGTGTTCGCGACATTTCGCAAGTCAGGCATGGGTGCAAGCAGCATGGGGGAAGTGCTTGGAGAAGGATGCTGGGACCAAGTATGTGAGCGTGTGGAAGGATGCTGGCTACAGGTGCAGAGTTTAGATGTGTATGTCTTGTTTTGGCACGCGTGTGTGAGCAACTATAAGAAGTCAATTGGATGAAAGGTGCTACACGGCAGCCACTTGTGGTGCCACTGACGGAGCGAGCTCCTTCACCAGATCATGGGCGCCTGCACCTTGCGGTGCCTTTCTTTGTTTCCCCTTCGCTCGCTTTCTTGTTTTGCTCTGTCAGAGATCGTACTGTGCTCGTTTGGGATCGCCTGCCTCGCTAGGGACGCTGACAGTGGCCCAGCCACCACAACCGCAGGCTCCGCAGGCGCAGGCTGGAAGACCTCTCGTGTCCTGTGCAAAGAAGGATGTAAATATCTTGAACCAAACATGTGAAGGTCTTGAACCTTTTTCGTTTTGCCTTCGTACACATACGTTTCTCAAGTCTAGGAACTGCCTGGGCAAGATGCCGATGATTATGTTGGTAATTGAAACCTGGAGCGTCCTAGCCTGCCTGGGTTGGTGAACTGGTGAACTGTTTATTTATATCTAGTCGACAATTAATTGATGATCGAGCCGGTCAGGTGTGCCCTGCCAAGCAGCTGGAGTCTCTAGGCAATGGTTTTTGCAGCAGCGGCCAGCCACTCAGGATGCTGAGTTTGTTGGTATGAGGCGACCCGACACAGCGATAGTGCTGATTGAACGGATGTTGGCCATAGTTGGCCAGCTGAGGTTCTGAAATCTGGGTTTCGAAATGCCTGGATGATATTCTTTTTTGGAACATGCGTGTGATCATTGTACCCAATGTAATTTGTGCCAGTCTTCGGCAACTTCTCTTCCTTGACACTGTTTTTTGGTGCAAAGCACAAGATCAGGTCAGATCTATGGTAGCCATGCCTGGGAGCTTGCTTCTAGCTCAGGGGGCATAAAAGGTTTCGACACACCTGAGTACGAGGCAGGAGGTTTGGACCATCAAAAAAGTTGAGCCATTTGCAGTGAAGGGAGTGCTTGCATTGAGTTTCACGTTGATATTGTTCGTAGATGTCAATGATGAATGGCATTCTGCAAGTCAGGCGTGGGTCCAGACAGCATGGAAAAAATGCTTGGAGAAGGATGCTGAGACCGCGTTTGTGAGCGTTTGGAAGGATGCCGGCTACAGGCGCATTCTTCTGCTTTGAATTCTAGGGTCCTTAGGAACGTGTTTGGAAAGAGTTGTGAGAAGGCAACTGCATGATGAGGTGCTACAAGGCAACCACTTGTGGTCCCAATGGTGACTCCTTCACCAGATCATGGGCACCTGCTTTCTCTCTGAAACCTGATGGATATGGACACTGCTCCTCCGGCGCCGGGCTTAGCTTGTCCAAAGTTGTTCTTACTGCCTGATGATGTGTTTGAATTGGGATCAGGTCAGATCTATGGTAGCCATGCGTGGGAGCTTGCTCCTAGCTCTGTGGGTGTCAAAGATTTCAACACACCTGAGTACAAGGCTGGAACTCGGAACAATCGAAAACGTGAGAAGGTTTGCACTGCCCAAAGTACTTTCATAGGAGTTCCACGTTGATGATATTTATTACTGTAGTGTTCATGTCATTCGGCCTGTCAGGCATGGGTGCAAGCAGCATGGGGGAAGTGCTTGGAGAAGGATGCTGGGACCAAGTACGTGAGTGTTTGGAAGGATGCTGGCTACAGGCGTGCGCCGTGCGCAAAGTGGGAACGTTTTGCTTTGATTTGTATGGTTTTGGAGCATGCCTGTGTGTGTGGACACCTTGGGAGGTCACCTTTGGGAGGTCACCTTTGGGTGTAAATTTGCAAGGGATTTGGTGGGGGTCCACCGGGGTGGAGCGGTGGCCAACGAAGACCTCTTGGACCCGTTTTCAAACGTACCTGCCAAACTGGTTAACTGTTGTTCTCGCTGTGGTTTGCTTTCGCGGTGGTTCATGTCGGGCAAATGTCTTTGACATTCTTTGACCTTTGTGACCTGAGGGACATGGTCAGTGCCATGGTCTCCAACCTAGTGGCGATGACCTCTGACCTTGTTGAGCGGGCCTCCAATCTAATTACGATGGCCTCCATGTAGTCCTCAGGCCTTTTTCGTTCGTTCGTGACTCTCAACGTGACGTACCTGCACTTTTGAATCTTGGCACTTTTGAGTCTTGACCTGTGTGAACTAAGAGCGAGGGCCTTCAACCTCGTTGCGATGGCCCCCAACCGTGTGTTGTGCGCGCGCAAGTAATTGTCAAAAGGCAATCTCGTGGTGATCTCATGGAAGGTGCTATGTGGCAGCCACTTGTGGTGCGACTGACGGAGCGAGCTCCTTCACCAGATCATGGGCACCGGCTTTCTCTCTGAAACCTGATGGATATGGACACTGTTCCTCCGGCCTCGGGCTTAGCTTGGCCAAAGTTGTTGTTACTGCCTGATGATGTATTTGAATTGGGATCAGGTCAGATCTATGGTAGCCATGCCTGGGAGCTTGCTCCTAGCTCTGTGGGTGTCAAAGATTTCAACACACCTGAGTACAAGGCTGGAACTCGGAACAATCGAACACGTGAGAAGGTTTGCCCGCCTGCGCCACTTTTCATCTAGGTCAGTTGCATGTTGATGAGAGTGTTCGCGACATTCCGCAAGTCAGGCATGGGTGCAAGCAGCATGGGGGAAGTGCTTGGAGAAGGATGCTGGGACCAAGTATGTGAGCGTGTGGAAGGATGCTGGCTACAGGTGCAGAGTTTAGATGTGTATGTCTTGTTTTGGCACGCGTGTGTGTGAGCAACTATAAGAAGTCAATTGGATGAAAGGTGCTACACGGCAGCCACTTGTGGTGCCACTGACGGAGCGGGCTCCTTCACCAGATCATGGACATCTGCCGCTCTTCCTTGCTAACCAGAGAGGAAGGAACGATCTTGAAGTGGACTTCCACTGAAAAAATATATGATGCTATATATGCAATTAATGTCGATGTTTTTTTAATGTTTCATGTATTTGCGGGTATTAAACACATGTTTTTTTTTGACAACGACTCATATTTATTCACAACAAATAAACATATTGAGAAGTGCACCCTGTACTTTGAAGAGTGAACGTCGTTGTTTGACTTCGGGCGTCGTGACTGGGTAATATCACGGCTCGGCTCATCCTGGGGTCGCTCTGCGGCTTCCGGTGGCGGCTTCGCCGCCTTCGTGCCTGTGCTGGCATGGTGCCATTGGGTGTTGAGAAGTTGGCGGTTCCTTTAGTTTTGCAAGTCTTCTTCTGATCCTATCCTTTTGGAACAACCTTTCTGGCACAGTTCTCAGCTTGTTGCATATCCTCAGAGCTGGCGCGCGCTTGCTCATCACCTTGGAACGAGCCCCTGCAGATCCCTCTTGCCAGCTCTCACTGATCTTGGTTGCAGGCAGTCCCCCTTTACCATGGTGATCGTTTGCGCTGGCTTCGTTAAGGCCCCAGGAGTGCGACGCAGTGCTGGCGTGAGGGCTTGGTGACAGCACTTGCTTAGCACTATGCCGAACAACCAATCCAGACAGCAGCGACTGGGCTTGGGTGTTCGCAAAACTTTGGGGGCTGTACTTGCGTCGGCGACGGGTGCCCATGAACAAGTTGCGCCGGCTGGCATAAACAACAACGATGCGCATTGGATATGCAGTCCGCCAGGAGTCATGCCACAATGGCAGCCTACAGTCACCCTCCTCCCGGTAAAACGGAGCGAGCTACCTTGTCAGCCAGCAGTTGTGCAGCGAGGGAGTGCTTCAAGCCCATCCCAAACGGTGATTCAAGAAACTCTCGCCAGGCCCAAAAGTGTTCGTTGTGGTTACGTTTTGCGCAATCCTTTGCAGAGAGTGAACGTCCCTGGAGTGACTGAGGAGATCCGCAAGGAAGAAATTGACGGGGTGCGCTTGGACGCCTAGTAGCGAAAGAGAACACAAAATCTCGCGAAGAAGGGGAGGATTGTGGGAGGAAGCGCGCAAGAGAGGCTGGAGAAACGCAAGGATGATGAGGGAAGGCAATTCAACATATTGATTCTTTAAATTTAATATAAGCAATGTCATAAACCTCTGTGAAAGAATTTAGGTAGGACTTAAGATTATGAATCTGTGCGAAAGGAAAACTGCAGTTGGGGAAAGCTTGGCGAAAGGTTTGGAGAAAGGCTTTGATGTTTTGATGAATGGATTTTGTTGCGAAAGGGTTAGCGAAGAGGTTTTCAGTACAAAGCATGTCATCCAAAGATTCATGATAACCAGGCGAAAGGTTGGCGAAAGGTTCGCGAAGATGTGGCGAAAGCAGTGGTTGCAGATTAGGAATGATTCCCCTTTGCTGACACATGCTGATACTTTTCTTAGATGTAAGTAGCAGAAACTCGGCGAAAGGGTTACTGTAGCTAAAGAGGTTGTCGGGTGAAGTGGGCCGGCGAAAGCAAAACATGCAGCCGCGAAAGCGTTGCGAAGGGATTGACGAAAGGTTGTTATAATCTTAATAAAAATT